AAACACCAATTTTCATGAACTACGATTCTACTATCCAGGATAAAACAACTGCTTGTAAATTTGGTCCATAAATAACTTATAAAGTGAAAAACGGTATAAATTTGATAACAGGTCCTGTTACCTCTAACTAACGAAAGCGGTAAGAACTTCGAAATTTCACACAATATAACAACAAGACAGATATTATAAACATTTCTGAATGAAAATAAAGACGAGCGGTAGTGGTAATATATGAATCATAGCATATCTGCTATATCCAATTCTGGTTAAGAAGTTAGCACAAAGGATCACATACAAAAGGTGTAATGTTTTCAAACGACACCCAAAACTCGAGCACTTTCTTGAGAAGAATAAAGAAAAAGAATAGTCAACTAATCGAAAACGCTCGAGTTTTTGGGTCTCGTGTGAAAACATTGCTATATCCAATGTTGGTATGAGTTTTAGACAGGTTTTGGTTTCTTTATTGATTCCAGAAAACTATATGAGAAGTATAAGGTAATAATGAACGACAGGTTTTGGATTCTTTATTGATTCCAGAAAACTATATGAGAAGTATAAGGTAATAATGAACGACAGGTTTTGGTTTCTTTATTGATTCCAGAAAACTATATGAGAAGTATAAGGTAATAATGAACGACAGGTTTTGGTTTCTTTATTAATTCCAGAAAACTATATGAGAAGTATAAGGTAATAATGAACGACATGTCCCTAATTTTGAAGTGATAGACTAGAGGGAAGGCAGATAGTAAACACCACCCACAAACAACCCTTTACCAACGAGTAGTGGGATTGACAGTAACTTTATAACGTCCCCATGGCTGAAGGGGTAAGCGTTTTGGGGGACGAAATTTCGTAATGAAATCTATCTATAAAATTTGTATTCAAACTTATCTTACCTTTTCATCATTCTCCTTCACGTTGAAATAGAGAGGGGGATTCTCCCGAGAAATCGGATACATAAAGCTGGGAAACATGTCCGTTGTTACCACCGTATTTACTGCAAGAACACCAAAAACAATTCTGATATAATTAAAAGTCTGATATTACTTAATGTCATCTTAAACTCTGTACTTTGTTGTTGCTGTTGTTCCCTAATAAAGCTTAAAAGTGAAATTACCATAAAGTTTTATTTATACTTTCATTATTTTACCAACATTAGTAAAATTAAAAGTTTTAGGGTTTAAACGAAGAAAGGGACACAACAGCTGATTTCACCACTTATGGAAATTTTAGAAGTTCGTTGGAATATTTTCTTACCTTTATGCATTTGGTCCAGCTTTTCGAAACTTTCTGTTCTGGAATTTTCGCTCAAAACTGCGCCAAGATTTATATGCGCATAATCTTCACTAATTTTGAACTGATTTAGTAAAGAAAATGCAGTTAATCAACAGTACTCGCCACTTGGGCCACTCTTGTCTGAACTGGTAGGACTTGTGTACCTACAGCCCCATGGAATTCGTTTTTTGTGTTTTTTTTTTTTTTGCAGCAAGGAGACGCAAACCGTTAACTCCTGAACTCACAGTCTGGCCTCAACAAAGACAGAAAGCCAAATACAAAATTTGATGATGGACTAGTAGGACTGGTAGGACTTGTGTACCTACGGCCCCATGGAATGCGTTTTTTGGGTTTTTTGCAGCGAGTAGACGCAAACCATTAACTCTTGAATTTACAGTCCGGCCAAACAATAACAGAAAGCCAAATACAAAATTTGGAGACGTCAGAGCAAGAAACTGAGTTTGATAAACCTTGTATTGAATAGGTGAACAAATATGATAAATTTCGGTTTGTTACCATTATATAATTTCATCAGGTGTTTTAAGATTTCTTGTTTTAAAGATACTGCTATATTGAAGCTCCAACAAAGAAGTAGTGAAAACATCTTCTTCAGTAACCATCAAAAATCGTTAACTCCTGAACTCACAGTCTGGCCTCAACAAAGACAGAAAGCCAAATACAAAATTTGATGATGGACTAGTAGGACTGGTAGGACTTGTGTACCTACGGCCCCAAAATGGCTGCCATTGTAATCGTACACGTCACGCCATCGCTGATCCCTATGTTGAAATTACATGTTTGATAAAGATTTGCTGAGTTCTTCCCATCATGCACTTACTTTTATAATTTAAAATATCGTTACTTAAGATTAAGCTAAACTTTTCCTGCATTCATAGCGGGATTTTATTTAAACAATTCGGGTCTCACAAGAAATCTAAATTCTGGCTAAATTTTCTTTGTAAAATAACCTTTTTATTATTAATGAATAACATACAAAGGTTTCGAATACAATGTATAACTCGATCACTGTAAATATGTTGCAAAGTTACATGATAGAGTAGCTATGCTAGTCAGCTAAGATTACAAAATTTGAACAATTATTGATAAAATAATACTAAAAGTAGACAAAACAAATGTCGAGTACATTACATTCCCAAATTAAAATTGGTACTGTATTTATTGAAATAATAAGATATAAAACGATGGATTTTTAAAAACGAAATATGAAATTGGAGTGAGGAAGTTACTCATTTCTAACTGTCATAAACTTGTTCCTCTTTTACTTGATGGTATGTTTTATAATTTCTTTATAATTGTATATGTGTAATTTAAAAACTTCATTTAATACAGCACCTTAATTGACACATTGACATCACAGTAGTTTGGACTGAAAATTCACAGGGATCTTACTTGATATCTGTGTCACATATTAGAAGCTTACAGAAGAATTGCTCATAATAATACTGGTTTTGGAAAAATTGGCAGGAAATAATAGATTTTTAATGACATAAATGAAGGGTGCGTCACTTATTGACAAGTAAAGAAAATCTTAAAATAAGAATTTTAACCAAACTTATCTTGCTGTTTTTGTATGTGCAACTAATATTTCTAATGATCGAAATGAATATTTTAATTCTATTTTTAGTTTAAAGATAAATCCACTTACTACACTTTAATTAGCAGAAAATAATATATTGTTTTAATGAAAGAAATGAACTGCACGCCATCTATTGACACATAAAGAAATCTCTAAAATACGAATTTTAAGCAAACATATCTTAGTTTTTTGTATATGCAATAAATACTTCAAATT